CTTTCTAAAATCCCCACTCTTTTTTACAATGCTGCTTCAGTTTACTGAGGTTTGCAGGGTTTGGTTTATGCACAGCTCTCTTAAGGTCCCACCACAGCATTTCAATCAGGTTGAGGTCTTGACTTTGACTGGGCCATTGCAGCACCTTGAATACAGGAGTACACATAGATAATAAACCGGACTGGGGGTAAAAACACCACTGCACTCTACAGGAAGGGCCAGAGTTGTCTCTATTTTCTGAGGCTGCTGAGGTCTTTAAACGTCTGTCGGACAATGCTCAGGACTTTCTATGAGTCTGTTGTGGCCAGTGCCGTCCTCTGTGCTGTTGCATGCTGGGGCAGCAGGTTGAGGATTGCAGATGCCAACAGATTCAATAAACTGATCCGCAAGGCCAGTAATGTTGTAGAGATGAAGCTGGACTCCCTTAAGGTGGTGTCGCAAAGGCGGATGTTGTCCAAGATTAGGAAAATGCTGGACAATACCACCCACCCACTCCATGATGTGCTGGCCAGTCACAGGAGCACGTTCAGTGAGCGACTGAGATTACCCAAATGCACCACTGAACGACACAGGAAATCATGCCTGCCTGTGGATATCTCCCATTAAAAATCCTCCATATAACGCACAGTACACACTGCAGTAGTTACACCCTTTTCCACATCCTCACCAGTAAAAATAACAAAGTTTCACAGTTTACAGTTTAGAGTAAAATGTCAATTATATAATTTTAATGTCTGTAATATTCTGGATATTTATAATAAAGCTATTTGAATAAATTAGAGCTATTTCTTATATTTTGTAACTTTGTAATATATTGAATTATTTAATTTAGTTCAGTCTGTTAGTGTTCTTATTGTCTTGGAGCAACTGTAACCAAGTCATTTTCTTAGGGATTCATAAAGTATTCTCATTTTGAATCTTTTCTTTTTCTGTTGTAGATTTGCTGCTGTATAACCTAATGTAAGCCTCACATTTCACTCTCTAACATTTTTGTGTACAAAACAGTTTATGGTCGGCTCAGTGACCATCAGGTCCCCTGGCTGTAAAATCATCATCCCTAGTTTGTATGCAGTATTGAGGATATGCTGTGTCTGACTTTTGCCAAACATGGTGCTGTGCATTATGGTCAAGCATTTCCACTTTTGTCTTGTCTGTTCAAAGGACTCTGTTCCAGCTGTCTTGTGGTTTGTTTAGATGCAACTTTGCAAACCTAAGCTGTGCTGCCATGTTGGATAGCCACAATTACTTCCCTAAGATCATATGCTTCCTCCTTAACACACACGTAAATGCTCCTGATCAGCAAACTGCCAATCCTCTGCTTCTATAGAGGCGCTAACACTTGCTGAGGATCAACAAATGAAGTTAATTTGATTAGTACGACCTCTATTCTACTTACCCTCTTAATTCCTATATAAGCACTAAGGCTGTACTTAGTGTTTCACACATTGCTTCTGCATTTTGGCTTAGTTTTTCTCTAAATAAATAATAACACTGTTTAATATATCTTGTTTTGCAGTTCTTGTGAGGTTGTATTTAAATCATTTTAAGGCCTGGAAAAGACTGGACATTATTATGTCCTGACAAATAAAACCTCAGAACTGACAGCGGGTGTGTTTTCTTTTTACCATGACTGGAATTTCTAAGGATGAAAAATGAACACATAGGGAACAAACTAGCTTTGTCTCAAGGTGACTGAACACCTGCTTGCAGTATTTGTGCTGAGCTAATTCCCTGCTGGCTAAAACTTCATATTCAGCATAGATTGTCTTGTCATCAATGGTTTGCATTCAGCAGAACCTTCAGGAAGTCATTGCACCCAACCAAGAAATAGTCCTGCACATTACTCCCTGTTAAACCAGTAATTGTGATTTTTGCACTCCTGTATTTAGTTGTTATTTGTAGTAGTTAAACAAATGAAACGTGACACGTTAGTGAGCTTTAGTAACCATTGTACGTGAATTTTATTACTGTTGAACAGAGCCATGCAGGCAGTTTCTCAATTACAGCTAATATAAACTAAACCAGGCTTCGGATTTCCAATTCAATTCAAGGTATAGACAGAATATTTGGCAAGAAACTGAATAGGTATACGATCTCCTTAAATGTTAACTTTTTTCTCCAACCTGCAGCTGATAATGATTGTGACTCTATTCTGATTTTACCAATATTTGCTCTCCTGCTTCTTCTTTCTGAAACACCTCTAAAGTTGGCAATCCAGAATGAGGCACAGTTAGCACAAAAAGTCAGATGTGGAGATTTCTGAGTGAGAGGCATAATTCAACTAAAACTATGCAAATATATGTGCTAGCAGAAGATAAGTTAATAAGGACGATGCGGGCAAGAAAGGAAAATCAGTTTCCTTAAAAGAAAGTGTTTATTTGTTTATTTAAATAAATGAAAAAGAGACTCCTGAGGGATTATGCCTCTTACTGCCAGGTGAAGAAACACCCCACACAAAAAAGACGCTTTTCCAAAACGTGCAGCTCCTTTGTAAATATTTGAGCTTCATGTCTGAAGAGAAAACATGAGCAGTATCTCAATTTATGTAACACCAAGATTTTTGAAAAAGGCCTTTAAAAATGACCTTTAACATCTGCTTACCCGCTCGGTATAAAGTCGGTGAAGCTAAAGATGCGGGGCGGGAAATCTTGTGATGACTCAGAGTAAGATGAATGTTGATAGCTATTGAATCAGCCTGCCATGAATAATTGAAGTGACAAACAGGCCAGAGCGCTTGAAGGCAACAACTCTCAGTCACATCTCAAGTTCAAGAATGAGAGTTTAATAACCAGCGAGATTTCTGTTCCTTTACTTTCAGGTCATAACTCGAGGCCTCTAGCCCCGGCTTTTATTCATCCCCTCATCACCAACCACAGAATGAGGTCAGTTTTATTGAAAGTTTCCTCGAGCCCTTTCCTGTTGTCCGCCTCTGCTTATGTAAACCAGACAGCCCCAGCTGAGCGGACACGGCGCCTCGAACGAGAATAGGGCCTTGATTCCATTCTCGGGAGCTTCTCGTCATCTCCTGCTGTCCAAGAATTTGTAATCTACCTCTAGTCAGATCAAATCAAAGACATTGTTGTGTCTCACAAAGATATCTTTACATGTGATTGCAAGTCTGAGTTTGCCGCTCTTACTTGCTGCTTTGTGTTGTTTCCATGTTATTTCCTGTGAATCACCATAACTTCTTGGAACTGATCAATTTTTTTTTTTTAGCACAGCAGTGCCAGCTTTGGCTTTTACTGCTGGGGGGGTTACCTTCATATTCTGCTGCTCATCCCTACAAAACCATGTCTATCATGAGAAAGTGAAAGAAACCACAAAGGGAAGGAAGCAGGACGTCAGTTGCAAGAGCGTCTGTGTCAACCTGCATTCAATTGTTCTGCAGTTGGAAAGAAGCAGTCAAAGCAAAAACACAGTAAAACTGGTCTACCAGATTGCTTCTTTGATTTTTTTTTTTTTTAAAGAAAAAGAAAACACCATGGAAGTGGGAGGGAATGGCCATTGTGTGGCTGAAAAAACAATTCCCACATCGGGACGAGAAAGAATTACAGCGCAGCGCCAGTCTGAGCCCGACGGTAAACACAGCGCAGTCCATGTCAAACTGGTGGGAGTCCCATATGAATAATTAACCCAGCACAAGTGGGTAGTGCTAAGTCTAAGTAAAGTTCATCGCAGGAAAGGGGGAAAACAAAGCTGCGTAAGTTGCAGCTCTGTGGATCGATGATTAGTAATGAATGCAGTGTAGTTAATTTTAGAGTTACAAGGGCTTTTGGAGTTTCATTATACTCTCTAATTCACATGGAAATGCCTCTCATAAACATGATTCAGGTGAGTGGGCAGAGAGAGTGGCCTGACAAACAAAACCCCACAGCACTCTGTTCCTGTCTATGGCAGATAGATGATTTTACAGGCAAGGAAATACATTCGCACTCTTACAGTAAGCCGTTAAAATGGCTCTTGTGCATGTCATTATTGAAATGAGATGCCCAGTATGGCACTGCTAATCAAAAGCTGGAGTAATCTTAATAATCTGTTTCACTATCATATCTTAGAAGCACACTCTTTAGCCCAGCAGCCACTCTCAATCCCATTCTTTAATGGTTAAGGAGAATCCTAACTTCTGGCAAGCCTTTCCATGTAAGAGTCGCTGGCAATCTAATAAAAAACCCCTGAGGTAAGATTCAAACTCTAAGTAGTTCAGAACATAACCTGAAATTGTCAAATGTCCTCAAAGAATCCATATTTACACTACACAGTGTTTGTCCCACATGGATAACAATCTCGCCGTTGCTCGAGGCCACATCTAAAATACACTCCCACTTCCTGTAGGCTTGTCAGATATGATCTGATCTCCTCATAAGCACTCTCTTTTAAAGCTCAGACATATTTGCGTGTGGGAAGAAGTTTTTTTTTTAGATAACAACATTTTGTAAACACAGGGTGGGTTTGATTGGAGCTCTGGCTTGTCCCCAGCTTCTGTAACCTTGCCAGGTTTGCCAGAAGGATGTGGGCTTTCCTCCAACCCTGCAAAGGAAACACGACGGACTCATCGGCCAAAATGCAACATGAATGAGTCAACGTGTCAAATCAAAAATCTTGCCCTGATTTTACAGGTTTTTTTTAAAAAAAAAAAGAAAAAAAAAGATATTTATAAAACACAAAAAGTGAAAGAAATCTTTGAAAGTGATCACACCTCCTCTAGTATGGCTGCATATCACACTGATGGCTCTTTTCCAGAGTCTTTTGAATTTGATCAGTTTTCAGTTTTACTAGGACACTCGACTCAATTTGGTTCTCCTTAAACTGAAGATGAGCTTAATTATAAGCACTGTGTGAACTTCTGGACCAGTAACACTACAAAAGGTGATTGTTTTGCTTGCATCATGCAGTCAGTTTGACATTATTTTGCATATTAGCAGCTGACAGTAAAGTAATGCGTGATGTAGCATTGCAGCGTGTTAACCAAGACACTGAAGAAGACCAAGAGCTAGTAAGACTTTTCAGACATTTTCAAATCGATTGCATTTTGCAAGAAAACCCCACAAGGCAGCATCAAATTTGCACCAGCTGCAGAGTACACAACTCAACTCACAACTAGCTTTTTCTTAGCTGTGTGGTTTTCATTACATACACTACTTTAATAGCGCATGATACAGTTTATGTAGAGACCGGTAAATCAAACTGAACGTAATATATGAAGTACGTGTAATTCAATTTTAGCTTTGTCACATATGATGAAAAATGTGAGTTAATAATCCCAATTACACAACTCCACTGGCGGCTGCTTTAATACTGTGTGTGTTTGTAGGTGCTAAAAGAAAAATATGACTGATTATCATAAATATGCACCACATAAACATACACGATTCGTATTTCATCACCGTGGCAGACCACAGAGAATTGAGGAAATGCTAATGTGTTCGGCAGCTTTCCCATTCAGTACGGGTGCTGATGATTATCCAGCTTTGAGTCCAGTGGGACCTTTACCTGCACGAAAATGACTACAGCAGTATCGTCACGCAAATATCACCAGAGGAAAAAGTAACTCATCTACTGACTACCCGTGATCACTGGTTTCCTCTGAAGCACAGACAGGGGGGAGGGAAAAAACAAGATGTCTGGCATTTCAAACAACCTCACAGCCTGTTGTAATTTCCGTTGCAGCCTCTGTATGTGAACACACTGCAAAGTGTTTCAGTCATTGTTGTAATACTGTTTCCCAATAGAAATAAAACTGTACCTTATTTAACTGCACCTTTACCCCAAGTTTAATAAATGATGCAGCTCAAGGAGAGGGAAGGAGAGAAAAATATGGATGTGAAACATTTTTAGCCTTTGGGTAAATTTCAAGGAAAAAAAAAAGAGTCTTATCTTCAGTAAGCAGAGGTGTAAACAAAGCAAAAATGTCCAGCACAGTTGGAACTCATCTTGACACAGCCTAACAAAGCAGATGTTTAAGTAGTTTCAGGGAGCTGCTGCTCGGAGGAAAATATTTAGATCAAAACTGGCAGCTTTAACTGTGTGGGTAGCCTGCACTTTCCTGCACGCAACCACAAACCAAAAAGCAGCAGATGAACAGGTATGACTGTGGCTCTTCCAACTGCGAGCTGGGATTGAATTGCTTGGGGTGTAGCTGCTCTCCAATTGCCAGTGCAAAAGACAAGGCCGGTGTTCAGGATGCAGGATATAGAGCGGCCTCTCTTGAGGCTGGTGGTTTGAAACTATCGATTAGCACTGTACCAATGCTCTCAGAAAACATTTAAAGGCCAACCGTTCGCTAAAAAGAAAACCCTTTACTCTTCAAATATATATATTTATTTCCATAATCCTTCATACAAACATCTTTCTGCTTCAAAAAATAAACTGTTGTAACAGGTGAATTAATAAAAGTGCCCATAGCTGTCAACAGTGTCCACAAAGAAGTCCAAGAGAAGGTAAAGCTGTGTGATGATTGGATATAAAGCAACAGAAGGCAATCCACCAGCTTGAAACACCATAACGTTGAGTAACCGTCTCTCTCTTCCACTCTGTGGGTTGGTCTCCAACACCTGAGTTGTACAGGAGCAAGCAGCTTGAGCACTCTTGTCAGTCAGGACTAAAAGGACAGTTTTTTGCTCCTCTCTGCAAAGCATTGCTGGATTAGAAAAATAATTAAGGGCAGTTAAATTCTAACTTCATTCCCAACTGATTAGACTGCAGGTGAAGCTCCAATGCAAATTGTATCCGCCATAACAGGTTGCTTAACCTGGGGTAGAGACTGAAATCTCATTTTCTTACAAAAGGAGGGAGGGATATCTGCCACTGGGGTGTGTTCATTTTTATTTGTTTTCAATGCAAATTAAGGTATGGAAATGTCGCTTTAACCCCGCTGATCATTGCTAAAGCATTTTAGTTGGAATTCACAAATTCCTCTGGGTGAAAAATATTTTCATGATGCACCATAAACTCCCTCTGAATATGCACATTTGTTGGCACAGTGTACACGTTTACGTGACCTCATGGGTTAAGCGCTTAAATGGAGCATGGAACATCACCGTGGAACCTCAAATTCTCTCCAGATGACCAGTGCATCCAGTGTCAGTTAACAAAATTCTCCTCTTTGAGTTCATGTGTTGTATTCAAATGGTTGGCCAACTCTTGCATCACGGCACCTTTACCAATCTGATCGTTCCTCCTCTTTTCCATAATCACGTCTTCCAGGCTTTGAAATTCCAGGACGTGACTTTTCTTCTCAGAAAACAGCAGTTTTAACCTGTACGGCTGCTTCCCAATCCTGATCTCCCCTCCGATTTTAAATTCCCGTTTGCCAAAGCGACACCAGGCTGCAAAACACTCAGAATTTCTCCAGTACAGCTCCCTGTCTCTTGACCCAACGTGGTCCAGCGCGTTGCGCACAATCACCTCTGGCGGGAGCGCGCGGTACCTGTAGAGGCTGTTCACTATCCGGCCTTGTTTGCCCTGGCTCACATCGGTGAGAAAGTTGTTCTTGATTTCAGCCCGGTGCAAATGAACCACCTGAAAGTCCCCGACGTAAACAGCCCAGTGTGGATACTGTCCAGTGGCCACGAACTCCAGCAGGTCTCCCGGTCTGCACTTGTTCAGAAGACTTTCCGCGGAGTGAGTCGCGGCTCCGGTTTTTCTTTCGAAGACGCACTCCTCTCGATAATAGATCGCGCACTCCAGCTCGTCCCGGGGGTCAAAGGGCTTCTCTTCGTGGTTTACCTGGCGTTTGTCCGCTGGAAAGTGATCAAAATTGTCGTCCTGGTCGTCGTCGTCGTCGTTGGAAAAAATATAAGACACGCCAATCCGCGGTCCGTCGTCTTCCGGGTCGAACCCATTTGGGTCCGACGTTGGCACCTCCGCGTAATTTAGATGCGTTAGTTTCTCCACCTGATTCCCCATAAAGGTGAACGGTCAGCGGTAGCCGGTTTGAGCCTGACACAGAAACAGGATCCACCTGTTCTTGGCGTCCCCGGGAACTACACGTAAAAAACAAAGGTTGCAGGGACTAACTAAATCCAAAGCGGCGAAGAAGGGCACCAATAATCCATGTCCAGCAGATTTTCTCCAATTGAACACCAACTGCGTCGATCTATGTGGAAACACACAAGACGGATGTGTTTAAAAAAGGGGTTGAATTTAGATATTAAAGGCATTTCTTCAAGTTATACGCTTAGTCCTAACAGGTGTGACCTGACTCACCTGTTGGCTCACAGTTTCCACGTAACAATCCCAACACAACTATTCTTATTGCTGCAGTTTTTACTTTTCCTGTCACCTCAGTGTTGTATCCTATCACCTACATTGCTCCTGTCGCGTCAGCCTGTCTCAGTTGTAGCTACACTTACTGATTTTCTTCTTTATTTTTGAACGTAAGCTCGCGGGGCAGCAGACACTCACCTGCAGGTCAGCTCCAGTCAGCAGCTGCTGTCTCACTCGCTCCTGTTGTCTCATCAGTAAAATAATGAGTAGTTTAGACTGCGCTGGCACCTGCTCTCCTTCCTGTATGGTAAGCTGTTGCGCTGTGCTTTGCTCTGTTGTATAGACTGAAGCATGAACCACTGTGGGCTGTTTCTTTTCTTTTTTTCTTCTTTGCAGCGAAACTCGCCCAGGATCCAACGACTGCTGGGAGGTGTTGTCATTTAAAGCGACAGTACGCCTTTTATGCCTCATTGCGTGTTCAGTCTTCAGTCAAAATCAGCAGAACATTAGAAATGGATACGTTAATATTTTAAACTGACGCCGGGATCCCAAAAGCTCTGAAATTTGATAAATGTCGATAATAAAAGCCATAACTATGTTAACAATATGAAAGACGAGAGGGGATTACGCAATATGTCCACTAGCAGGTCCTTAAAATGGAATTAGATATTATTATATTTGAGGGTAAGAAAAAGTTATGGCGCTAGATTTTTTGTAATGGAGTTTTAAATCACAACAAACAACAAAACAGGAAATAACAAAAGTGTCATCAAAAATTCCCATTTAGTGGGAACTTCATGGGAACTGACAGTTTTTCATCCCTACAGACAACTTTGACTTGTTTAACTCAGACATGCTGCAAAACCAAGGTGACGCATTCATATTTTATTAACAGGTTTCTATTTAAATTCAGGTTGTGTCATTGTAGGAAAGCAAAAACTAACATTATGCAGTCACATCCAAATGAATTTTATAGAATTGGATGGGTTTTTTTTATGTGTTTACTCAGAGGACAAAAACAAAACACTGGATTTTGACATCTCACCTGCCAATCTTTTTTTGAGCTCAGTGAGGCTTGGATGTGGAAAAAGTGAAATGCACTTCATTGAGATCAAGTTTCCAAGTAACAGCACAGGAATCCTAATGAAGGAGCACCATTCAGGGAGGATTTACATAAACACGGGAGCCACACAATTGTTTAGGTTTTTCTTCTGCTCCCAGTAGTCTTCAGCAGCCTAATGCTGTACAGAAATTGTTTCACTTTAGAGAAGGTGGTGGGTGGGTCATGTGGGTAACCTTAGAGAATGTTGTTTTCTTGCCAAGCCTGTGTGTCAACAGCGCACAGAACCAGGCCACTCCTGGACTTGGCAAGGAAAACAAGAAACTTGTGTCAGAGGAGAATTTTAAAATGCGAGTCTCATTGGAGGCCCGTTGTTCTCTGCCCCGTCTTTCCAATCAGCTCAAGCGCTGCTCGGGCCAAGACTCGTGCGCCAAGAAGTGATAATATGTTCACTTCCTGCCAAAAGGTAAAAATCCTGCTTGGACAGGCCTTATATCCAGGCTTACAGTGTTTCAGCCATCCATTACACCTACTTCCTGGAGCTTTTTGAGGCCAGAGATGAATGTGAATTCCAGATCAAACAGGAACCAGAAATAAGAAAGCATCTGTGAGAAATTGTTCATTTTTCTCAGCACTGTGTGTCCATACGGTTATTGTGATTCCCGAGGATATTTACGCTTCTACATCCTCACAAAGGAAACGGCTCGATGGCTCCTTCCTGTGATGTGATGAACGCTTTAGTGTGTTCATGTGTGCACTTTGCTCAAAGTAAACTGCGTTCTGTGTGTGTGGGGGTGGTGGTGGTGGGAATTACCAGTGACTTCGCGTGTTGTGTAGTAAACAAGATTAGATTTGCAGAATGGCAATTCAAAATGAAGTAGAGTGGAGAAATGAATGAGTCAACACTAGCCAGTCATTTATTGCCAGTTAATAGCTTCACTGAAATGTTCTTAGTGCTGTTTGACGCACTCACTGTAGAGAGAGGGCAATTACAGATTTTTTTTTTTATTCCTGATGCAAGGCTATTAAAAGATTAGCTTCACCTAGTTTCATCTCAACGCAGCCTTTGTTTGTTTCTTCTTTTGAAACAAAGACCCTTCACAAGGAGCGAGAGCAGGCTTAATCACATAAGTGCATTCCCACCAATGTAAAAGAACTGTTTGTTTATGGCTCATTCACTGAGCCCATTTTTGAAGGATTTTATTTTAAGTAAAAGATCATCCTTTCTTGGATCTACAGTTGCCATGTTGGCCAGTAACCCTAGATGTAGGTGAAGCTGAGAAATTAGGAGATTCTCAAAACCCTGAAGCACCTTTATATATTTCTGCACTGACTTTAAGCAAACACTGCCCTCACGTGGCTCAGTAGATTTACTGCATCAGATAGACTCTTGAAGTAGCCACCACAGACTGTGAAAATACTAAACATGTAATTATCTTACTATTTATTTACACTCAATGAAAGTTCTCCAGATGAAATATTATAACATGTCATCCAGATTCAACGGAGCAGCAAAAATTACAAGGTACAAAAAAAGAATGGCATTTTATATAAAAGCGTAGATGGCAATATAAACATTCTAGATTCTCAGTGTACAAAATTGTTACCGGAAAATGTATTTCTTTAACTATTGATTATTTCCATAGAAATGTTCATTATTAAGTCCGGTTGTTCTGCCTCTTGTAGCTCTGGATCCTTCTCCTCAGCATCTGGTCAGGAATGAGGTCAGACTCTTTCACATCTGTATTTCCACAGCCCACCACAGGACAGCTACAGAGCAGAGACACAGAGAACCTTAACTTGCTTCAGACATTTAAACACACACAAACAGTTGCAGAACAGCTCAAAAAAAGCTTTCTGTGCATCAGTTTCATATTAGCTTTGCCCCGTTCATTGCTGAGTAACTGTTAAGTTGTTACACATCTGCCTAAACTTGCTTTATTATTTCCTGTGCCAGTGCTCGCAGTTTGATTCTGATTGCCTATCAGCAACCAGACTTCCATCTTTTGTGTTCTTATTATAATGTCTGCATTCTACACTGAGGAGTCCCCTGACGTTACACATGCTGTGATAAACTGGATGACTTGAACGGTGGGAACTTCGAGGCTGCTAAAGCAGTAAATGTGATGAAATGCCATTTACTGCAGGTACAACACCATTTCTTCAAGCATAAACCTAATCTCAACAAGGAAAACATACTGCTGCAGTGTGTGCAGTGACCACAGTCAGGACCCAAGACAATAGGCAAGTTTATTTTTCAGCAACACTGCTGCTGGGATTTTATCAGTGTTCCTGCAGGATCAGCCACATGTAATTTGACTCCAACATCAAAGCAGCATAATAAAGGCAATGTAAATTAAGGCAGCCTGCTGGTCCCACACCAGCCTGCAGTGTTATTTACTGCTAGAAAACCTGACTCCACTTTCTAACGGTCCTCAGAGATGCAGTGTCTTACCGGCATTTCTTTTGCTGGCTTTGTTTTGTTTTGATCAGGTTTATGATTGCTGCTTCATCATAGTGGTGGTTACACTTCTTGTTCTTTACCGGGTTCACCATTTCCACCTTGAACAGAGGCACAAAAGAATAAGTTTCAAGTTACCTGTGTTTTGTTGAAAAAGCAGTTTGAACAAGCAAGAGAGCGAGATCAGAATGATGCATTTTGCAGGAACATCATCTTACAGTCAGGATTTTGGTTTGGGTTTTTTTCTGCGTAGACACATTTTGGCACCCACCTAAGATGTTTTAGCCTGAGCCAAATGAAAAACACCAATATTGTAATAATCCTGGGACTGGTGTGAAATTTTGTCATAATTAGCCCCCAAATGTTTTGGATTGTGACCATGCAAACTCTAATGAGCTCAACCTTTAGTCCAAATTAATGTCTGTGCCTAAACTGAAGGAATACCCCGACACATAGATGGGCACAATGAAAACATAACACCTCTGAGGCAAAGACAGAGGCATGAAAACACACTGGATTAATCTACCTGTAATCTACAAATCTAATCAGTAATCTACCTGTGTGAGCGGGCAGGTAAAGTTGACTTGACTCTGTGTCACAGCGATGTCCTCATCGAGCTCCTCCATGCTCTCTGCTGACTCCTGGTTAGCTAAAAACAAACAATGCACATGCGGTTTGCTTCCATTTGTCCACGCAGAGTAAAAATGACTCAATTTGATGGCACATACCACCATCCACCAACATTTACTGCACACACAAAACTTTATACACAACACTCCCAAACAAACACAAAACAAACTCATCTTCTTTTTTTTAGTCTGCACATAAATTTCATATCTACAGTTGTTGTCCTGGCACATCTACAACTACTGAAGAACTCAAAGGCTAACTTGAGCCCAAAGTATTAGAAACTGCTCTCTATATGTGGCCTTTGTAAACTCCTCCATAGGATTATGCTATTCAACATATTTATATTTCAGCCTTTAAGCAAGCAGGAACATGAAGCAATACTAATTCAGTGAATAATAATGGGCTAAGCCCTCACAGAACACACTGCAATGATCACCTCGGCTCGCAAAGTTCATGCTTCAAAGTGGGTTATCACATTTGGCTCTTTTTTCAGACATTTTCATTTTAAGTCAGCTCGTGAAAATAACATACTTAGCATAATGTAGCCTATAATGTCTACAGAGACTCACAAAAGCATGGCACTATATGAGGCCGGCATAGCTGTAATTAGTAAGAGTTAAAAAGCAGAAAATAACAGCCACAGGGTGACAGCGAAACAATCATTCAACAGTAAACAAAGGAAGCTGCGTGTTTTAAAATAAAGCTAATTATCCTAAACAAGAAAGCCACATCCCAAGATCTCTCTGCTCAGCAAGAAGTCCTCAGATAGCACTGCTATTATCAAAGTCCATTAGAAGTCCTGAATGCACTGCGGTGAGTCTAATTCAAGTAAATCTCCTCCGTCTCTCCGCAGGCCTTACCTTGTTTGAAAGAGTTTTTGACACTTTCCTTGAAAGCCATTACTTTCTGGTGAGTGTGCAGGTCAGCGTCAGAGAGTTGGGCTATTCTCTCTGTGAACTGCTCCTTCACTTTGGCAGACAGGCTGAACATGGCCTCCGGCTGCTGCGTGGCAACCTACAATGATTGAAATTTGTTATATAATTTGCAATAATCTACATTTTGTATTTAATTCAGAAATGCTTCACAAATGCCCGAGGTTTGCGTCTTCTTCTGAACATAGTGTTAAGAGTTTTCCACGTCATCGGTTACGTCACCATGGTGACGTATGCTGCACTCTGCACAAGATTATGTTCAGCCATTCCTGACGATGTGATCTAACCTGCTGAGCTGTATGTTAGTAATGACAGAATCAGATGCAGCTGAACAATCTGTGTGTGTTGTGATCCCATGGGACACTTTCTGCTCTATTCCCCATTATCACTGAAAATATTCAAGTGCTGAAAAAAATGTTGCTAAACTGACTTTTATGTTGACTTCATTATTAGTCATAATGTTTATAACTGTGTCACATTTAAGAGCTCTAATGTGCAGCTCTGACTTTATGCAGAAAAAGCAGCATTAACAATGCACTGATTATTTAAAGACAATAATATTTCAGCATTCCACTTCTTGCCTTATTTCCTGCACAAGTGTTGCATTTTGCTGTTTGTTTGTTTTTTAATTCTTGTTAGCATTTCAACGACATGTTCCTCTTGAGTCAACTAGGCATCACCTGATGGGTCTACACTATGCAGCAGAACAGTCAAATGGTGCATCAAAACTTTCCCTACAATGAACAGGGTTTAAGCACACTGTTGTAATATCCATCATCTCAGTCGCCTAATGCAAGGAAACCTTCAGGCTGCTCTCACCTCAGCTGTAACTTGTTGCACCACATCAACAAAGTAGTTAATCTCCCTGTCCAGCTTGGCACACTCCAGAATCATGGCCTCCATCTCTTTGATGCCCGGGTTCATCTCGTCATCTTTAACATAAGTGCACACCAAAGAAGTAATCACTTAAGCAGTCACACCATAACACACACACGCACACAAACAACTATCAGATCTTTGGGAATCACCTTGTTTGTGCAAAAATCCTATGTAATGTCTGTCCAATTGTGTTATCTTTGGCATTCTTCATAGATTCAACTAAAAAAAAATTGTTACTAGCAGCCTGTCGCAAAAACACAGAGTGCCTAATTATACAACTTAAAATCAGGTCTTTGCTAAGTTATTTAATATATGTAGACATGACACTGGGTTCCTTGAGGTAGGTGCCTTCTTTTTTTTAATATTAAAGTGATGCAAGTCTTTTGCATAGTACTATAAATGTACGCTCCAAAATTAGTTATAAACCTTAAAAACAAATCTAAAGCACATAAAAACATTAATTATAGACGTGAAAATATATCTGGTAAGCGAATAATTAATGTAGAGATTACAGATGGAGGTGGTGAGCAGTACGATGAGAAAACCTTTAATATTTACCCTGAGCTTCCGCCAGGTCCATAGCCACGTCTGTCACAATGTCCATACCTGTCCCGATATCAGCCTGACAGGATTTTAGACTCGACAGAGTTCCGTGAACAGCGCTCAGAGACATTGTGAAAGCTACCTTTATTACTTTGGGACTACAAACCAGAGCTAAATTTAACGTGCTTTTAACGTTAACGTTAGCCTAGCTTGCTAACAGGTATCTAGTTCTGCCGGCAAAATGACTGACACCTACATGAACGTCAAGTACAATCTGTTTCAAAAACGCTTTTAGTATAAAAACAACAAGTGAAACGTAAATAAACTATAGAAACTGTGGATGCTATACAAACGCACACAAATCACCCGCTAAAACGGAGCCACAACAGAAGCTAACTTCTAACTTCCGGGTATGGTTTTTCAAGGTAAAAGCTTTAACAAAATATGTTTAAACGGAAGGAAACAAAACTGCCTTTTTAATAGAAAGAATCGTATTTATTAATCCATTTGATTTATAAATGGCACAGAATCTTAGTACATAAAGGTGTACATTTACAATCTGTAAGTGCAAGACACTGATAGTTAGCAGAATGAAATGTAAGTAAACAAATCAATAGGCCCCACATTTGACATATCACTGTAGAATAGGCACAGTGAATAATAATAAAATAGTATTAATACATGTGGTCACGCTTGCTGGAGCACTTAAACCTAACAAATCAGTTGTTAATTATTAGTAACACCTGTGCAGTCACTACATTGAGACAAAATGTCTGCAGTGAAAAAACATTCGGCAAAAAACCCGAATCTTTAAATGAAAATCTTCATCCATATCTTCACAGTATTGTTCTGAACTCATCAAAAATATAACTGGGCACATGAGCTTCCGCCACCTTAAAAACACAGAAAACACAAGGAAACACATGTTACTGTCACACAAATATAGTAGAGTACAGATGCAAAAAATAGTATTTTAAAATCTTTTCCCATAGCTGATGGTTATTAAATCTGGCTGTCCAATAATAATGCTCCTAAGCATATTGATGTTTCACCATTTCAGCTCTACTACTACCCCTGGGTACTGTCAACTTTGTCTACTCTTATCATTTACAACCTCTTAAAATATTTTCTAACACTAACACAAATAATATAGGGAAAGTTGCACCTACCTTACGTGACAGTTTTGTGTACTTCACGTAGTCTTCAAGGAACATCAGAGCTCCCACCACATCAGAAGGCATGTCAGGGATTTTCTGACTATAACAGGATCAAACGGAAGCTTTAATATGATTTCATGAGGCTATAACCAGATACATTTTATGTCCGGTAACACAATCCACAATCATCACCAAGGAAACCTACCACACAGAATATTTGATTTCGAATCTTATTTTAGAAATCTTTCTGAAGTTGTGAAGTCTGTTTTGCTACCTTGTGCACTGCTCCATGATTGAGCGGATGAATTGACCAATGAGAGCCAGGAACTGTTGTGTGTATCTGGAGTGGAACTGCTTGAGCAGGGTGAGCAAGCCGAGCACCAGTGGAGGCCAGTCGACCGGGTCTGTTGCTTTCCTGCAGGTCATTCCTGCCATAACACAAAACATCAAATTACAACCACATTCAGAGACATTCAGGGACTGTGCGTTAGCAGAAAAATGTGGGGAAAAACAAATCCATAAGATTTAATGCCGCTTTCTGAAAAATAATAAAGTCTGCTGCAACTGAACTAAGTGAAGAGGCGGCAGGGTACCCATTGTACTCAAAACTGTATAACCTGATCTCTTATCAACTTCAAACAGGTTACAGTGAACTAATGGGGGGGGGAAATCACCTTGGTTTTTGTTGTACTGAAGTTTAGGCAGCTGAGCAATAATAAAGAGGAAGTTGATGATGGGGAAGTACGGGAGGCGCTTTGTAGTGATGTAGATCTGTGTGAAGCATAAGTAGAACAAAAAGAGTCTGAACACGAACATCTGCTAATGTATAGCCAAAGAAAGCAAAAAACAGCTTGCATTTTGTGGTCGTCATTGAAAAGACTCATTTCGATTCAGGTGAAATCAGAACAAGGCTAACTGATTATGTGGGAAGAGATGCCCCTTCTGTTCAAACCTTGTTGAGAGGATTGTGAATGCCAGCAGCCTCCAGGTAGGCAGTGATATCGTACAAAAGAGTGTTGTCCTCTTTAGGATAAGGCAGGGATGGGTCCTGGTAATGGGCCTCAATGTCTGCCAGCAGAGACCTGGCAAGAACATAATCAGAGTCAGCATAAAAGAACAGTGTGAGACTAAAACAGACATGATGCAATTAGCAGGAGCATCCATCATGAAAGTCATTAACACAGAGTAGCACTTGGGGGGTAAGTAAAGAAAACATAAAAACAATTCAGTGCCATTATGGTAAGAATATACAGACTTGTTGAGGTTTTCCAGTGCAGCCGCCAAGTGTTTGGAGTCAAACTTGCAGGAGTAGTTAAGCTCATTAGCGATCTGCTGTCTGAGAATCTGCATCTGACCAACCTTCAATAAACACATGCATTCAAAATTATTTTAATCTCTTCATCAGAAAATTGTGACAATAAAGACCAAAAAAAGGGATTTTCTTTTTTTACTTTTATTTTCTATTCACTAACGTGGGAACATGGAGCAGTACCTTCATGATGGCTTCCAGATATGTACCCCAGATCTTCTGGGATTTGGCCACAGCACTGCTGTAGACTTTGCTGGCATTAGCTACAGCAACAAAAACAATAATTAGATCTGTACAAGAAAAGGCAGGTTATAGATTCTCTAAGTGAATACCTACCCACAATGCCTTGGACTGGGCTGACGGCACCTTGCAATGTTCTGAAGACCTCCACCACAGCTTTGTCCTTCAGGATGGTCTTCTGAAGTATTGTCAGGAAGTTCTGATGAGACAAACACACACATTACTACAATCTAGGAGCCATACTAAATGCACTAAAGATACTACCAACATTGACATGATTTCAGGGTTTGATCTTTGCTGACCTGAATGGCATCTTTTTTGGGGGGGAGTGGGGGGATACTGAGGTAAATATTGGGGTAAATACCTGAAGTTCCCTGACAATCATGAAGCAGAGCAGGCGGTCCAGTCCATTAAGGCCAAATGTACCAAGGGTGTTCTGGATCTCAGAGAACAATCTGTTGTTAGTCACCTCCTGGTGGCTCTTCAGGTCATACCAGGTATTCATCTGGTCAATATAACACGTCACCCTATAGAAAGAATCAGTTTATTCCACCATCAATAAACTGCATAACCAAAGATTTTTTCTCCTCCATCCTCAGATATAAACTCAGTTATTCTGCTAATTTCGCTAACTCTTATTTCACTTCCACTGTTATGTCTGTGGAGACATACTTGGGATCAGTGATTCGGAGGATTTCTCTGCAGAGACGACCGATGAAAGTGGCAGACTCGTCCACAGAGGGAAACTTGGGAATAGGAATGTGGGTGGACTGGTGCACGCTCTGCCAGTCCTGGATCTGAAGAGAAGCAAGAAACAAGCCAATCAGCCAACTGCTATTACTGAGAAACAGCCAAACAACTAGAACGCGCCCCTGACTGATAGATAAGAAAATCTATCAGTCAGGGACAAACTGCTCTCAGTGCACTACTCAGGGAAAAGGAGAAAGCGTGTGAAGTTCGACCTTGGTTCTGAGAAAACTGTTGCACTCCTGTTCCACATTATAGTTGACGATGCGGGACACTTCCTCCTGCCAGATTTTAAGGCCATAAATGCTGACGTAGTCCTGGATGTATTCAAACGACCTGTAGAAGCCATCCATGGTGGCGCCCATCTCCTTTAACTTGGGCATCAGTTCACTGGGCTGAAAGAGTTCAGTATTTTTTCTCTATTATTTTATTTCACTGCTGTTAATCCTTCAATATCATTGGGAAACTTAACATGGAAACTGGTCAACATAGAGCAAATATATCACAAACTTTATTTGATGATTAATAATCCATAACATACAACAGGTGTAGCATCTCACCTTTGCCTTTGGATTGAATATTAAGCCTTTGTGCAGTGCATAAGCCACCCTCTTCACCAGCTCCTTCCTGATGCCATCCTCCAGAAGCTGCTTAGGATCCACCTTAAACATCACAGTGTGTTAATAAAGCAAACCTGTGCTGCACCAAATCCCTCAGCAGGATTGTATTAATCTTCTGAAAGACAGAAATCTTTGTTCTTAAAGTTCAGAAACCTTAATCACTGCATTTACCTTGATGATCCCAACGAGAGTAGTCTTCATCATTAAAATGCCCTCAGTGAAAATAGATATGTCATGAGTTAGTTTTGCCACCTGCAAAGACACAGAGCAGAACGATGTTTAGGCATGCAAAAATATAATATATATGAATAATATTGATATCAATCATTGATATAAAAGCCAATGTTTTGTTTGATTTTCAGTCTAAAGAACAAAAAAAGTCTCACTCTACAATGATCTTATTTTAATTTCAAGGCACTGGACTGCAATTCCAAATATGACTGAAAAAAAATTAAAAAGTAACTTCAGTACTTCACACTCTAATTAATCCAATTCAGCTAAGTCTGCTGGCACAATCTGTTTCCATATCACGCTTCCTTTTCCAATTTGTATTTCACATCAAAAGCTGTGAGCAGATTGAAAAATGTTAGCATGATTGCCTCCGACTCCCATACAGCTGATGAGGCGAGATCAAAACAGAACAAAATGAGCTCTCTTATCTATTTTTTTATTATTTTATTTTATACAACATCTGAAGATATTTTTTCCCCCTTTCTTTACGTCAGTGACATTCTGATCAACACTCAAGGGGAAGGAGACAGTTTCATACACATCAGTTTGTCTCACTTCATAGCGAGCCGTCAGTTGGGCGTAGTCCTTTAGCTTGTCCTTATCCAGCCGTGTGGGCACCTCCATAATGTCGTGGATCTGAAGCTTGATTATTTTGGCCAGCGAAGTGAACATGCTCTCTGGGATAATTTGCAGCACCTGGAAGCAAGAAGATTTAAAAAAAGGACTGTTTATTGTATATCCATTAGATCAAGGATCTCGAGTACAGCCAGAAGGAAAAAATCTTCCAAGCATAAAGTTATAGCTAAGAAGTTACCACAACGTCAAGGTACAGATGCACTAAGCACTTCTTTTTGGGTACATTTGCCAAACAGATGGTTTTTCAAAAATTCATCATTCGTGCAGCTGCTACAGCACTGATACTGACAAACAGTTTGCAGCATGCAGAGCTCATTTGTTAAAATAACGAGACTACACGCTAGGAGAATATTAGACCAAAACATTTCAAAGCAAAAGCTTTTGTAAGAGGAAAGAGAAGCAGAAAAAATGACATCATACACTACCTTTCTCACATAGGACACCAACTCTCCAGAGTAGAACTGAGAAACACTCAGCAGGTCAGCACTGTTGGCC